AACTACTGTATATCTAAGATGGTTAAGATGGTAAATTTTATGTTATGTGTATTTTACCATAATTTTAGAAATTAGAAGAAAAGTAACCTATCCTTAATGAAAAACTAGTAATCAGAATACCACAACATATAAAAAGCATTATAGACCATGACCAAATGGGACTTATTCCCAAAACACAAGAATGCTTCGACATATAAAAATTAATCAATGTAACACATTAATAGAATGAAGGGCAGAGGGGGACACAGGACCATCTCAACTGATGCAGAGGAAGCATCTGACAAAACTCAACATACTTTTATAATAAAAACATAAAATGAACTAAAAATAGAAAGCAACTACTCAAACATATTAAAAGCCATATATCAAAAAACCCACCACTAACATCATATTCAATAGTGAAAGATTGAAGGATTTTCCTCTGAGATCAAGAACAAGAGAAGGATGTCACTTTCATCACTTCCATTCAATATAGTATTAGAAGTTTTAGCCAGGGCAATAAGGCAAGAAAAAGAAATAAAGGCATTCAATCTGAGAAGGAAAAAATAAAATTAACTCTTTACAGATAACATGATCTTATATGCAGAAAATATTCCACACTAAAAAGAAAAAGAAAAAACCTGTTAGAATAACAATTTCAAAAAAGTTGCAGTACGCAAAATCAACACAGAGAAATCAGTTGTGTTTCTCTACACTAATAATTTAGAACAATGTGAAAAGGACTTCCCATGGTCATGAATTGAAAGATTTAATATTGTTAAGATAGCAATACTACCCAAAGTGGTCTGTAGAGTCAACATAATCCTTATCAAAATCCCAGTGATATTTTTTTGCAAAAATAGAAAAATCTATCCTAAAATTAATATGGAACCTCAAAGCTGAATAGCCAAAACAATTCTGAAAAGGTTCTCACTTTCCAATTATGAAACTTAATAAAGAGTTGTAATCAAAACAGTGTGGCATAAAGACAGACATTTAGACCACTGAAAAGAACAGATAATCTAGAAATAAATTTGTTGATAGATGGCCAAATAATTTTTGATACAGGTGGCAAGACCATTCATAAAGAACAGGATTTTCAAAAAAGTAGTGCTGGAAAAACTGGATATTCACATGCAAAAGTATGAATTTGGACCCCTAACTAATATAAAAATTAATTCAAAATGGATCAAAGACCTAAGCATAAAAGCTAAACCTAAAAAACTCTTCAAAATTCTGTGCATCAAAAGACACTATCAACATAGTGAAAAGGCAACACATGGGATGGGAAAAATATTTGTAAAACATATTCTCTTAGTAGGGATTGACATCCAGAATCTACAAATAACTCATACAACAACAATAAACAACCTGATTAAAAATTGGCAAAGAATGTGAATACAAATTTCTCCAAAGAAGATATACAAATGGCCAATAAGCACACAAAAAGATGCTCAATATTACTAAGCACTGGGAAATGGAAATCAAAACTATAATGAAGACCGGGCACGGTGGCTGAATGTCTGTAATCCCAGCACCTTGAGAGACTAAGGCTGGCAGATCACCTGAGGTGAGGAGTTGGAGATCAGCCTGGCCAACACGGTGAAACCCCGTCTCTATTAAAAATACAAAAATTAGCTGGGTGTGGAGGCACACGCCTGTAATCCCAGCTACTCAGGAGGCTGAGACAGAGAATCACTTGAACCTAGGAGGCAGAGGTTGCAGTGAGCCGAGATCGTGCCATTGTACCCCAGCTTGGGCAATGCTCCATCTTAAAAAGTAAAGAAAACTATATGATATTCTATTTTACACATATTAGGATGTCTACTATCAAAAAGACACAAAATACCAACCATTGGTGAAGATGTGAAAAAACTGGAATCCTTAACAATGCTGATGGAAATGAGTATAAAGAAAACATAAAACAGTATGGCAATTCCTCAAAAAATTAAAAATACATTATATGGTCCGGTAATCCCATTTCTGGATCACACAAAATAATTGAAAGCTGGGTCTCAAAGAGGTATTTGTGCACCCATGTTCATAATGGCATTATTCACAAGAGTTAAAAAGTGAAAACAACTCTAATGTCCACTGATGGATAAATGAACAAAAGATGGTATATATATACGATGGAATACTATCCAACCTTAAAAGGGAGGAAATTCTGACACTTGCTGCAACATAGATGAACACTAAAAATATTATGCTAAGTGAAATAAGCTAGGCACAAAAAAGATACATATTAAACAATTCCACATATACAATTTATTTAGTCAAATTCATAGAGACAGAAAATAGAAAGGTGGTTGCTCAAGACTGAGAGGAGGAAGGAATGCAGAGTTACTATTTAATGGGCACAGAGTTAAGATTTGGGAAGATGGAAAAGTTAAGGAGGTGGATGGTAGGAACAGCTGTGCAACAATACAAATGTTCTTAAAGCCTCTGAGCTTTACACTTAAAAAATTGTTAAAACGTCAAATTTTATGTTATGTATACTTTACCACAATAAAAAAAAATTTAATCTATAGTTTGAGGGCACTAAAATATATGGAAATACAGTATTTTGTAAATTATATCTGGTATCAACTTGCTACAGTTACAATGCCTGCATATAGTTTACTAAATGTTTAGTTTTCCTTCACTTCCAAATGGTTTATAATTTCTATGTATATCACTGCCAGCTGCTTAAGTAACTGCACTTTCCCTGTTTCCTACATTGCTGTGGCTACCAAATCAAAAACTATAAAACCAAAAAGGACTATAATCATATTAAAATGTTTTTAAACAATTTTAAATGTAAATTTTTATCACTCCCTAACAAGAAATACTAATGTGGCTTGCAGTAAGCCAAGTGCAGAGACACAAAATTAAACATTTCAAAGGCAACTGTCAAACTACTACTAAACTCTCCCTCTCTCTCTCTCTCTCTCTCTCTCTCTCTCTCTCTCTGTGTGTGTGTGTGTGTGTGTGTGTTGAGGGTGAGAAGGTTCCTAGGAATGTTTACAGTTGTTAGCAAAGCAGTTCAGTCCTGGCTGGGTTGTGGGAAAATTATGTAAGGTATTATATTTGAGAACATTTTACCACAATTTAAAAAAAGCTCTATTGATTAAAAAAATACAATTATATCAACTTATGAAAGGATCACATGAAATGGGTGAAGTTTCTCTAGGAAATTCAAAGTTCACAAACGTGGCTGTTTATCTAAAACTATTAAGCTACTTCTGAATTACTTTTTTGTGACATTTTCAATTAAACACTGCAGTTGTGGAATATTACTTTATATTGCATAGTACAGCAGCCCAAATCACAGTACATTTGTATCAAAAGGAATGAGCACTAAGGAATAAAAGTGTGCCTAAATAGAGGTATCTATTTACCTCCCAAACACAAGCACTTTCCAGCTAAGAAAATAGGAGGGTAGTGTATCATAAAATACCAGAAGCTTGAAATATTGCTTAGGCCCATGGCTGACTTTAGAAAACAGGTAAGATTTGAGGGTGTCACAAGAATACATTTCAGCTCAAGGAGCAATTAGTTTTGCAATTCATTCATTTCACAAATATTTTTTATGTGCTTTGTAATTCATTTACACCATAAGTATTTTTTATGATGTCCATTACATGTAAAGTTCAGCACTACTGCTTTGGAGATTGCGAAAAGGCTGCTCTGGTATAACAGAAGAAAATGGTCTGGGATTGTGCTCAGATCCATCATCTGTCTAATCATAAAATATGTTATTTAACAACCCTTATAAAGACTACTAGTAGGATAACATGAGATACAGATGCAAGACCCCAGCATAATATCTATACATTGTTCAACAAATATTTGCAGAACTTAAGAATAATGATACAAACAAAAATTCTGGCCTCAAAGCATACTATCTGTTTAAGGAGATGAGAAATGAACATAATTTTAGCGATAGGTAAAAAGTAATACACTTTGAAGAAGAATAAAATGTTTACAGAATTCAATAAAGGAACAAGTACTTCACCTTGAGAAGCAGCAATTATTTGATCTGGGTCTAAAAGCACAGGGATGATTTGGCTATGCGGGGATCAGGTGAGAGAAAATAAGATGAATGGTATAAAAGTGGGAAAACATTTTATTAAAAATGTATAACTGAGAAAAGCATAGAGAATCAAAGAAAGATGAAGTAATTCCATTTGGTTACAACAAGACCTATGTGGAAGAATTTAGAAAGCTGAAAATGAAATGAAAGCTGGAACTGGAGCTAGATTACAAATGGTATTCAATCCCAAATTAAGGCATTTGAAATAAAAGCAGGGTGTGACATGGTCTCAACTATGCTGACAGAAGAAAATCTGGTGGAAGTACATAAAATAAATCAGAAGATAGAGAAAGGATATGTGGATAGACAGTCAAAAGGCTACTATAGCAGTCCCAGCAAGAGATATTAAAGACCTAAACTACGGTAATAATAAGAACTGGAGAGCAAGGAAGTGATATGAGATTTGACTGCAATGGATCAACAGAAATGGTTGCTGGAAGTAAGTAGAGGAACAATTAATTACAAGATAACCTACATGACTGGAAGGATGAAGATACTGTTACTATAAACGGGGGAAAATATCAACAAATGAGACTAGGAAGTCAAGCACTTCATTTATAGTGAAATTCTAACTTACTTTTACTTGCACGTATGTGTGTATGTAGATAAGACACGTATACGTATATTCATATATATACACACTTTTGTTTTTTGCAGAAAGAATTATATACAGATAAATTATACATAGCTTATAACTGATATCTTGACAGTTTTGAAACTTGTCAGGAAAGAATGTTTAAATATAAGTAATAAAATGTAACAAATATTGAAAAATTCTATCTACTTTAGCAAATATGCTTAGACAGTTTCTCTATAGATAATCATATTCCATTCTATTCGACTCTGACACAACAAACTAATTTTACCCTTCATTACTGAAAGAGCTCTTTAATGCAATAAAAAACAGCGTAATGTTTCAAAAGTTCAAGCCATAATTTACACTTACTCTGTGTAACTCCCATTTCTCAATAAGGTGTTCCACTTCACCACCAAGAACTGTAGTGTTAGAGTCATTCAAAAGCAGGAATCCATTTTTTATGTCAACAATGCCTGAGAGCTTAACCTTAGTTCCAGGTGGTGTGTTCAGGCTAAAGCAAAGAGAAAAGAGTTAAAAACACACTGAAGCTCAGAACACACAGACATAGGGAGGGGAACAATACACACTGGGGCCTTTTGAGGGGGTGGGGTAGGGGGATGGAGAGCATTAGGAAAAATAGCTAACGCATTCAGGAATTAATAGCTAGGTGATGGGTTGATAGGTGCAGCAAACCACTATGGCACACATTACCTATGTAACAAATCTGCACATCCTACACATGTACCCCGGAACTCAAAATAAAAATTAAAAAGAAAAAAACCCAAACAAACAAAAACAAAACACGTTGAAGCTCTTTCCCAAACCTAGAATTCAGTTTCATATTATGACCTAATAAGGTTCTTCAAAATGCACTAACACTGAAACTAATTTTTCAGGAGGCTGACTACCCCCAGAGAGGAAGTTAGAGGACCAGGAACAAAATTGGGATTTTGTTTGTTTGTTTGTTTAGACAGGGCCTTACTCTGTTGCCCAAGCTCCTTGAGTGCAATGGGCAGTGGCATGATCTCGGTTCACTGAAACCTCTGTCTCCCAGGTTCAAATGATTCTCTTGTCTCAGCCTCCTGAGTAGCTGGGATTACAATCGTGCATCACCATGACCAGCTAATTTTAGTATTTTTAGTAAAGACAGGGCTCCACTATGTTGGCCAGGCTGGTCTCCAACTCCTGACCTCAAGTGATCCACCTGCCTCAGCCTCCCAAAGTGCCGGGATTACAGGCGTGAGCCACTGCACCTGGCCAAGATTGTCATTTTTTATCTCAATGACAGATAAATGAGCTTTAATCTTAACTTGCAAAAGAAAAAAAAAAGGTGGACAATAACATCACAAAGTTGGGATAAAGACATGATAAATAGAATAAAAGCATAAAATACTTTTTCAACTATGCTATGGTATACAAATATAAGATTTGACCTTTTTTTACTCTGAACTTTAGCTGTGCACAGCAAAAAAATACTGTTTTTTGTTACAAGATTGAATTTCAACACAGAAGCTAGCTGACCAGTAATAAACCTACAAATTTAACATCTGTATGAGCCATAGTAATTTACACAAAATAATGCTTTTTTTGTTCACCATCTAGTCAAAGATCAAATGAAAGTTATTTATGCACAAACTTTAAAAGGATTTTTATAGGCTAATTTTAAGCTATTTATATACTAAATTTAAAAGAACATTTCTATAATAGGCTAATAGTATCAGATTTGGGGCAAACATTACACCTTGCCTCTTTTTTTTCTTTTTTTTTTTTTAAGGTGTGCACTTTTATTCAACTGGTCTCAAGTCAGTGTACAGGTAAGCCTTGGCTGCCTCCACCCACTCCTAGGGAGACCAAAACCCTTCATACATCTCAAGTTGGGGGACAAAAAAGGGGTAGCCACAGAGGCTAACATCTTTCAAAAATAAAATAAAGAGGCATTAAGGGAAAGATTTAAAAATTTTTGCATTACATAATTTACACAAAAGCAATGCTATTATCTCCCCTGTGTGGACTCGGGAGAGGACTGGACCATTGTCCTTAGAGAGAAGTGGGGTGGCTTTTGGGAGGGCAAGGAACTTCCTGTAACAATGCATTTCACAATATTTGAAATGACTATTAAAAAAAAGAACAATGTACAAAGTCCTCAGCCACATTGTAGAACTTTGTGAGATGCAGCCCTGAATTTCAGAACAATAGATGGGATAAGCAGCCCATTCAGGGCTGCTTCTCCCTGTGCACACAAAGCAGGAGGAAAAAAACACTTAACCAATTTGAGTTCCTTTTCCCCATCATTATTTATATATCAGTTTAATTAAAATTCACCAGGTACCCACCGCTTTGTGCCATGTCCTGGACTTTCAAACGATACTGTGGCAGTGAAATCATAACTGTCTTACAAATATAAAATGAACATGTGCCAATGATTTTATTTAACTCACTAATTAATGAGGAGACCAATAAAATGTTAAAACTATTTCAAAGGAGAATTTGCTTTATAAAGATTTACATTTTCTACTGAATAAAAATTCATTTGTGTTGTTACAGAGAGGAATTATTTGTATTGTTATCAGTTTGCCACAATTTATGTTCCACTCCTACAGTTGTAAAATAGCCTAGTCAGAGATTAGCCAAAGAATTAAAGGTTCCCAACCCCATAGAATTAGGTAATTCATGCCCAGCATTCCATAGCAAGGGTCTGTAGTCATCTCTATGCCTATTTCCAAGTCTTGAACACTTCTTTTTTTTTTTTTCCTGGATAGAAGTCACAGCTATTCTGTAATAGGGCATGGGGACAGGGACAGAGACTCAAAGCTCTGAAGAATCACATCTATTCCTTCTGAAAGTCTCTGCCATCTCAGCCGCTACTTTCCACTTCAGGTTTTCATTATCTCTTAACTTTGGTCAGCTCCTAACCAGTTTACCTGGCCTTCACTGAGTCCTTTCTTCAGTGTTTCTCAGACCTCCATGTGCAGACAAATCACCTGGAATAAAATGCAGATTCCAATACTGGAGGTGTGAGAAAGGCTGAGTCTGCATTTTTAACAAGCTCCCAAAGGCTGCTCCTGCATCTGGTCTTTGAAGAGCAAAGAGTTCTCCCTTACGCAGTTTTATAAGCCTACTATGGGCCAAGTATTCAAACGTGGAAGAGAAGGATCAGGAAGGAGGTTAACAAAGTCTGAAATAACCAGATATGAAATGAGATGGGTGTGGATTCCAGTGGTGACATCTAATAGTATCATTATAATATTATTTACTCCTCACAAAGCTAAAGAGCAATTACCTTCCAATAATTAAAAATGCTTTCAAAAACATTTTTGAGTTACTTGATAAACTGTTTAGGGTCTCACTACAGAGGGCCTTGCTTCTGTGGGATTATCTGACATCACTTTAACTTTCATTGCCAGTGATAATGAATTCAGGATCATCCAGCTTAATTGCCACGAGAACATCTATCTCTGGTAGACAATGGCAAATGTAAAAATACTCTTTGACATGAAATTTAAATGTTTATTATCAACTGTGGTGTTTCCTGACTTTTAATAATTATATTTGTATCTTTCCAGTATTAATTGCTACAAATCTATAGGAATACACTGGTCTCCCCTTATCCTTGAGGGATACATTCCAAGATCCCCAGTGGATGCCTGAAATCACGGATAGTAGTGAACACTATATATATACTATGCGCAAGCTTCTTTTTCCTTCTTCACAATTTCATAGATTAAAATACTGTTCTTACCCTAGATTTTAGCAAGCTAAGCATACAATTTTTTTTCTTTCTTTATTGTGAAGAACTTTCACCTTTTCACTTAAAGGAAGCCCTTTGTGGCTTTTCTTTGGCGTTTCCAAACTGCCAGCGTCACTACTCTTGCATTTTGGGGCCGTTATTATGCCAAATAAGGGTTACTTGAACTCAGACACATCTATACCACTACAGTGGATTTGATAACCCAGGTGGCTACTAAGTGATTCACAGGGAGGTAGTATAGACAATGTGGGTACCCTGGACAAAGGGATGATTCATATCCTGGTCAGGTCAGAGTGAGACAGCATGACATTTCATCATGCTGTTCAGAACAGTGTGCAATTTCAAATGTATGAATTGCTTATTTCTGCAATTTTCCATTTATTATTTTTGGCCTGCAGTTGATCACAGTTAACTGAGACCTGGGGTAACTGAAACCCCAGAAGGTGAAACTGTGGATAAGGAGGAACTATTGTAGAGTATAATAAAATATAAAATACAAAGGGAAAAACTCGGAGTAACCAGAAGATAGAAATATGCTTTGGAAATTTTATTCTCCTATTAGCCCCTCAAAACTGGAGACAGATCTGTAAACCGACAATTGCTATACAGAGTGACTAATGCTTTAATGGCAGGATATGTGGGAATCGTGGAAACATAGCAAAGAGACACCTGATTCATCCTAGAGTTGCAGAAGAGGTTTCTTTACAAAAGGGCACTTAAGCTGAATCTTGAGGGAAGAATAACAACAGACCAGGGGGACCCAGGAGTGCGAGAGACCCAAGAATAAGCACATAGCATGAGCAAATGCAGGGAGGCATGCCATGGTGTTTAACAAAAGAAGTGGGGGGGACAGATGGAAGAGGGGGAAAAAGGCAAGACCGGTGAATGAACCTGTGCATTAACTCAGGTGCATTAACACTGTATGCCCTGATTAGAAATGGTGGGCTATTTTTAATGAGCAAATGATTTATATTCACTCCATAATATACCAGTTTTTCCCAATTCTTACTGTGGAAAAAGCACATCTGCACCTTCTAGCTTCTAAAGTGCATCCACATTCAGAGTTATGCCTGAGCATGCTCACAGAAAGTCTTTGGAATTTTTATAAGTGCGTCTTTGATGTGATTTTTATGAGCAGTGTTAATTTCTTTCCACATGAATAGCTTTAATAATGCTGCAATCTAAATCCTGTTTAAATTAGTTTATATTGTTTTCTGCTTTCTCAGTGAATACAAAATTGAATTTACAGTTGAGTATTGAAAATGACCACTCCCAATATCCTCCTGTAGCCATCCAGAGGGAGTTACTGGCTTAGTCTTAATTAATATAAATTAAAGCTACTTCTTACATGGCAACAAATATTGACTGGAGTTATCAAGCATGCCTTAACTAATGTTTTTTTTAATTTAATTTGAATGTCAGTACATCAATCATATGTTGCCCTGTCAGTTTCAGAAAGTTCAGAAATGAAGATGAAATTGGGAGTTTTCAAAACTATATTCCTCTTTTAGGCTAATGGAATTCTGCCTCCTGGTACTTGTGAACATGTTAGAAAATCTCTTGGATACTTAGTTTTGAAATCATGTATTTTCAGTGGCTTAATCCTAAGAATATTGTTTCCTCTTTCTGAAATGATAGTCTGCTGGTGAACTTACTGTGCTCTGGATCTAGGTGTGAAGAGCAATAAAATGCAGCTTTCAGACCATTTGAGTAAACATACGTTTTTACAATTTAAGTGTGTTTTTCATGATAGTAAAGTTAGT